TGGATCATAACAAATTATGGATAACATTGCAAAGAATAAGAATTCTAGAACATTTAAATGTGCTCATGACAAACCTGTCTCTAGACCAAGAGAACAGGACAAGGGGATACTATGTGGTTTGAATCAGGATAAGCATGTGTCAGCTTTGTGTCCTTTAAACATATTGTATATTGAGTAAATAATCTGAGAAGCTGGACTATATGAAGAAGAATGAAGCATAAGAATTGGAGGAAGACTCATAAACAATCTTCATTATGCAGATGACATAACCTTTTTTTTTTTTGCTGAAAGTGAAGAGGACTTGAGGCACTTACTGCTTAAAATTAAATACTACAACCTTCAGTATGGATTACATCTCAACCTGAAGAAACAAAAATCCTCACAACTGGACCAATAAACATCATGATAAAGAGAGAAAATACTGAAGTCATTAAGGATTTAATTTTACTTGGAATACAATGAGTTCCCATGGAGTCAGCAGTCAATAAATCAAAAAATGCATTGCATTGGGTAAATCTGCTGCAAAAGATATCTTTAAAATGTTTATATATATACACACATATTTATGTGTATGTGTGTGTGTGTGTGTGCGTGCATACAAAAAAAATAATTACTGCCATTGAATCGGATCTGACTCATAGTGACCCATCCTTGAGTTTCCGAGGTGGTATCACTACCGAAGTAGATTGCCCAACCTTCCTTCCAAGGAGTGGATGATGGGTTTAAACCACCAGCCTTCTGGTTAGCAAATACCTTAGTCATTACACCACCAGAACTCTCTCTATATATACGTATCAGTTTGAGAGCTAAGATGTATATGACCCAAGTCATGGTATTTTCAGTCATCTGATACGCATGTAAAAGCTGGGTAATGAATAAGGAAAACCAAAGATGAATTATGATGCATTTGACTTATGGTGTTGGCAAAGAATATTGAACATACTACGTACCACCAGAAGAATGAAGAAATCTGTTTTGAAACAAGTACAGCCAGAATGCTCCCTAGAAGTGAGGGTAGAGAGATTTCACCTCATGTGCTCTGGACATGTTAGCAGGAATGACAAGTATCTGCAGCTGGACATCATGCTAACAGGGTCAGTGAAAAAGAGGAAGACCCTCAAGGAGATGGATTCTCACAGTGACTGCATTAATGGGCTCAAACATAGCAATGATGGTGACCATGGTACAGGACTGGGCAGTATTTCATTCTGCTGCACATAGAATTGCTATGAGTTGGAACAAATTCAAAGGCACCTAACAACAACAGTGTACAAATTATGCCATTCATTAAAAGTGATGACAGTTTCTGTGCATCTTCATGTATACCTTTGAGACATTTACTATGATAGTAAAACCATAGTGGAATGCATATATGTGCTTCTGAATATTTTATTCTTCTTTTGAAATGTTCCATCAAACAAAAACTCTGTGATCAATTGCTTCTTTCACAAATTCTAACTATAACAAATTAACTCAGAATTACTCTATTATGGCTAATTATAAATAATGTACTATGGTTCAGCCTCATTTTTGTAACTAAATGGTAATTTACAGTCCAAATATTGCCAAGCTTCCCAAATAAAGTCAATCATTACAAAATATGAGATACATAAACACTAAAACTTCCATTATGGCTATTTTCATAGAACTGTTGTCAGAGATGAAAGGCATTTTATATATCTTCAGTCCCTCTCCAATCAATGGTTAAGAAATTGATCTTCTAAATGTCAGTGAGCTAATTGGAGACTAGGTCTATGATCTAGATCTCCATCATATCATTTCCAAGCCAAAACGCTTTGTTGCAAATCATATTGAGTCAGGTCTCTGTCTCTTTCTCTAATAATTTACTTGATACACCTCTTGTGTAGCTATTTGCACAGCAATTTCTTCATATCAATTGTACTTTCTTATCAGCATTTTCTTTTGGCAGAACAGCACAAGAATTAGGTACATTAAAGAAAAATAACAGAGTCTGCTTCATCACGGATTTTCAAAACCAGATTTCTTTCTTTTATCAAATGACTGAATTAGATTCTAATAAGTACACAAATATTTTAAAATTAAAATTAAACTCTTCTCAGAGCTATGTCATTAATTCACTAAGTAAAATATTAACTTCACCTCAAGCCTTGAATGTGACCGCATCCACTTCATTACCTACAAATAGGTAACGTCTTTCAGTCTCATTTGTCTGTTTCTTTCTTTAAATGCGTAACAGATGTACTAGAATTATTCTGTTTCTAGATCATATATTTCCTTTCATATTAAAACAGAGAATGTACATATTTATCTCCTGTGCACGCTCACTTGCCATAATTTTCTAGTAGTAATAAAATACTAATAAATCTCCTAAGTTAATGTGGTGCTGTGCAAAATCTAGTAAAAGTTAACTAGAATTTTGCAATGCACATGTGGAAGAAGCAGCTACAATACTTTACAATACTTGTAAATGTGCTGTCAATGGGAAAAATTAATAATGGACATCTTAGTTTAATTTTTTGTTTTTTACCCATGAAACCACATATTACCTATAAAAATTCCTGATCCAAAATTAATCCTTCCAGTGGCTTTTTTCACTAGAAACTGTTAATCTTTTTTTCTTGTTGTAAACCGAGATTACTTATTTTCATAAGGTATCATGACTGCAGGTGGGGCAATAGCCCAACTTGTGACCTGATATCAGTTGATCTTAGTAAAAAGGGGACAGCAGGGTTGAGTCAATCCTGTTAAGATTGGCCAATGATTGACCTTCTATTCATCTCCCTTTCCTCTCTATGTGTATTTCATTGTAACTGGCCTACTTTGAGCCATTTACTTTTATTTTTTGTTTTTGTATCAGAGTGGTCTCCCTATATACATACAGAGTAACTGCTCAGAATAAACCTTGTTGTAATTTCTTTAAATTTTGATTATTTATAACAAACCTATTTTTCCCTCTTACAATTCAAAAGTGATATATTAACTTATCAATCAAAAATATTTGAATCACTTCATTGGTCATAACATAGATTTCATTTTAATTTTTAAGATAAACTGCCTCTGAGCAGTAAACAAGTCAATGATATTTACATAAAGTTATTAACTTCACAGAGATATTCTGATCTTATATCCAGTAAGAATTCATTATAAAAACAAATACTGAATAACTTATTATTTAAAATTGTTAAAATAAATTCAAGGGTAAATACAAGGAAGTCACTTCTTTCTCTCACGTTTTCAAATATAAGGGGTTTAAACCTCATATTTTTGTCAAAATACTAATTCTGTATAGCTGACAGATGCTGTTCCCTACTTAATGGAGGGTCTCAAATTTTACTCTGCATCTCATTGGAAAGGAAATATAAATTTCTAAAATAGAATTAACTTGAGGAAAGGCATCAGTATTGCAACTCTTAGCACCAAATGTTTTTTCTTGGAACACCAAATGCTTTATGGAAAACATTCCAAGTATCAAAGTTTTCAGATAGATAAATATTTATGGATCAAATCCATAAAGAACAGACATTGTTATGAAATATATATAGATGCCTTCAAAACTTTCTTTCTAGGCAGAGTAGACACATAAGTTAGAAGTCATTTCCCACTTAATTGCTTTGCAACCTTATGCAACACAAATGGATTAAAGATACTTATTCATTTGTACCCAGAGAACAGATCTTGACTGACATCAAGTCCAGAGAATGAAACAAAAATTATTTCTATATATAAAATATCAAAGGACATTTACTTTATAGGAATGGATTTATTCTAACCATTTATTTTCTTTGTTGAAAGCTGTGGAGGTTTATGGTCTTGTTCTTTGTTAAGAAAACAGTATTCTTTAAAACAAATTCCTCTAATTGGCTAATTGATATTATCAGAGAAATTCATGACAGATCTGGCACAGATTTTTGAATGACATGAAATTTTATCTGTCTTTGAACTTTATGCATGGTATTTTTCAGTCTACATATATACCACTGATTCTCCCTTTTCACTGTCAGCACTTCATAGTGGTATGAAAAGTGTTCTTCATTTGTGTTCCAATCTATAAAAAGCTATCCTTCCAATTAAGTATAAAGGTCTACTTACATTTTTCATGCAGGCAAACGTGACTATGCTATATGATACTTGTTGCTGTTGTTATGTGCCGTCGAGTCAGACCCAACTCATAGCAACCCCTCCTTGGGTTGCTGAGGCAGTATCACTATGGAAGTAGATTGCCCAACCTTCCTTCCAAAGAGTGGCTGGTGGTTCAAATCTACCTCTGGTTAGCAGTCAAGTGCCTTAGGCACTATGCTACCAGAGCTCCTTATATGATACTGTTGTTTTTGTTGTTGTTATGTGCCGTCGAGTCAAACCTGACCCATAGCGACCCCTCCTTGGGTTTCCGAGGCAGTATCACTACGGAAGTAGGATTGCCCAACCTTCCTTCTGAGGATATGATACTAGCCATATTTAAAGCAACTACCAAAGAGACAAGGAGCTCTGGTAGCATAGTGGCTAAGACACTTGCCTGCTAACCAGACGGCTGGCGGTTCAAACCCACCAGCCACTCCTCGGAAGGAAGGTTGGGCAATCCTACTTCCGTAGTGATACTGCCTTGGAAACCCAAGGAGGGGTCGCTATGAGTCGGGGTTGACTCGACGGCACACAACAACAACAACAACCAAAGAGACATAGCCTTAGCTTTTGTAGTATCCTTATTGTTCCTAAAATACCATTTATAGGTGTGCACTAAATGTTATAAATAGCAATAATCCCTGTTCCAGATGCAAACCCAAACACAGGTCTACAAAAACTCATTTCAGAAAGGGTTGGGTGTACCACATTGGCCCTCTAGGTCATACTTGGATAACACACACACATGGGTAACTACCATCAATAGACCCATCTGTGAAAATGAGGAACATTTTGAAACGGAATACAATTCCCTCCCTGAAAATAACAGGGCAATTTTATATTCATTCAAACAAAGGCATAAGCTTCATCTGGATTTTAAAAAATGCCAGCAAACACACAGGTAAAAATTTTATTTATGGATATGTGGACACGTGACTTTGGATCCAGCCAGCCAGTGACATAAATAAACTCGAGCAAAGGATTCAAGCTAGAGGATACATATGTGTATATATATATTACATATATATTTGTGTGTATGCATAAGGCTTCTTGGAGCAGTGCCACAAATCTGGACACCAACCAACAGAATCACTTCCGTCCTTTGAAATTTCCATTAAGAGCACAATGGGGGTAATTATACGGGGATGCTCCAAATCGCCCTTTCCATCTTGTGCACACACATGCCCGCCAAACATAAAATGTTCTCCTTCTCCCTTCCAATGTGATGGTTGTTGAACTTATTTTTAGTGTCATTTGATAAGCCTTTGTGCTCACAGAGAGACATCCCACTGACCCAGCCACTGGTCATTGTCTATACCAGTTCACATCAAAGCAGGCGCGCTTTGTCAGGTTTCGAGTCGAATATCCATTTCGCATCTGAAGTACAGTATCGAAAGTGACTAGATCATTTGAGCTTTTTCCTTCAGCTGCTGCCTTCTTCCCCACCCCCACAGTGTTTCCGCTCACGCTAACATAATTTGGCATCGCCGACGTGACACGATGGTGGTTTTTCTAAAAAATTATAATACATACATTGTCAATGTTTGTGATGGTCAATGCTTCTGAAAATTTAATTTATAAACTGATGAAAAGAGGTCTTTTTCCTCTACTGAATCATAACCAAGGTGGTGTGCCCCTCAAACTCCAAGTAATGCGCATACAGTAATAGGTCATTCAATGTCAAAAGGCATAAAAAAGATGAGCAAAATCTTCACAGGCTGCTGCTTGCTGTTGCCTTTAATTATATTAATTAAACTTTGAAATTTTCATGCAAAGAGAGTTGCTGGCTTGTGACGCTGAAGAGCCCTTGGAGACTTGGAGGAAGAAAAAAACCCTGAGCGGAAGCTTTGTGGTTATGGCTTCCTTTAAATTAAAAACAAAACAAATTCCTAAGTATTTTTAACAGATATTAATGATTTATGCACTACTAAACCCTAAACATAGAATAAGGGGAAAATCTATCAGTTTCAGGGACATAGTTGCAAATCATGAGTCCCTTAAACTCCATTCAAGATCTTTGGTTAGAGACTGTCTTCCCGTAGAATAACGCTCTATTAATTTTCTTCTTGTCCCATGTGCATAATGAAAGAAAGGTTTCTTCAAAAACTAAAGGGCAAAATCTTGCTTGCTACCAATACCTTGAGGCATCCTGTCTACATTTTGTCATGCGTGTGCACTTTTCAGTGTTAGAATGACAAGATTTTCCAGTCAGAACAGTCAGAAGCTTCCCGTAAGGCACACTGTGATAGGGGACTTGAAAGGAATTTGTGATCTGACATAGCTATAAGGCAATGGACTCCTTTATTTGCTTAGCCTGGTGGGAAATTTTATACTCTGCCTGTAGCTAATAATCTTGTCATGTAAAAACAAGCGCCATGTTTCCACATAAGAAAATTCTATTAAAGACCCCTCATGGCTAGCTGTTTTGTGGTCCTTGTTTGATATCCTCTTTGTGCTGTAGCATGTCATGTCATGATCGTTGTTTTACTTTTTCCTCTCCTACAAGCTGAAATTAACTTTCTTGTATAAACATAGCATGCACATTAACATTCCTCTTTATTTTCAAGGTCATGGATCATGTGTTACCATTGGATTTCATGGACTACCATGGCACAACAAGTGCTGGAAACTGCTGCAAGCAAAGCAGAAGGCAGAGAAAATATTTTATGCCTGAGAGGAATTAAGGTGCTCTTCCAAAAACTTCTGAAATGTCTTCATTTTTTTTTCATTTGGCTGGAAATCAGCAGTGTGGAGAGGTGTCATCTTCATACCTCTTTGGTTTTACTGCTTTCCTTTTATTGAGATGGAACTCTGGAGAAGTTTATGCATCGGCCCTGAGGAAAGAAACAAATCCTTATTGAAATAATACAGCAACTATAATAATGCATAAAACACCTTGATTTTATACCATGATATAAATTTTAAATGTTA